GTAAAGTTTAAGTGATTCTTTTGAGTTCATGAGGCTGAAAATTGTTGGTCTAGACTTGGAATTTATCTAGATTATCTTTCCCTATTTCCCACCATTAGATGCTGCTCATATTTGAATGACTGGGGAAAAGTGAGCATCTATCAATGCAAAGATGACAATCACAGATGGAAAGAAAATGAATGCACCATTGCACAGCAAAAAAATGAGATATGGGCCATGAATACCATTCTAGCATCTTTGATTATCTGCTGTTATGAGAAATATATTAGAACTACTCTGTGATAGATTTAATTTTTTAAATTTATCATGGGATAGATCAGTGTAGGAGGACTTAAGGAGAGTGAACTTATAGACTTTGAGGGAGGGCTCTTCTAAGAATAGGAGGATAGAAGAGTTAAGTCTTTATAAATGGAGAGGCTGAATGAACAAAGACGAGGATGAGAAGGAAGAAGAGAGTGAGAGAGAAAAGGAGAAAGATATTTGGGAAGAGGGGAGTACTGGATTACAAAATATTTAAGAGGAACGTGTCAGAAGTTCCACTGCCTAAACAGAATGATGAAAGGGATATTATATTGGAGGTGAGAGAACATGTGGGATAGTTTACGCTTTTGAAATAGAGACTACTGTGCTTAGTTGGGGTGTTTGGGGACTGTCATGCACTTGTGTGGTGCAACAGCTGATACAGAGGAAGGAGATCCTCTCAGGGATGTTCAATAGGTGGAGAAGAAAAGAAGTTGATGGAGAAAGGGAAAAAGGACCATTTTAAATGAAAAGGAATGTTACGATACGTTGAGAATCTAGAATCAGAGAATGAGGCACTGAGAAGATTTGGAAAGATTTGGGCTTTCAGAGGAGACAGGACAAGCACTCAGGATGCCAGAACTAACAAGGGCTAAGAGAAGGGACTAACTTGCAGGAAATTTTTTCTTTTCTTTCTTCATGTGATGCCATTTGATCCATAAGAGGGCTATCCAAAAGGGGAAAAATATGGTCACACTGAAGGCCCTTTCAATCAACTAAAGAAGATGCTTATATGTTCACAGAGACTGGAGCAGCAAACACAGGGCCTACATGGTTCTATGTCAGATCCTTTGTGTATATATTATAGCTATTAGCTTTATATTTTTATGGCACTTCTTACTATGAGAATGAGTGAGTCTCTGAATCTTTTTCCTGCTCTTGGGACTCTTTTTCACCTTTTTTTGCTTGCCCTCTCCAAATTCAATATGCAAGTTTTTGCTTCATCTAATTATATTTTATTTTGTCATATTTGATTGTTATCTCTTAGAAGCTTGTTGTTTTTTTCTAATGAAAGACAGAAATGAAGTGAATCCAGATAGGATGGGGGTTAGGGAGAAACTGGGAGGAGTAGAGGGAGGAGAAACTATACTCAGGATATAGTGTATGAGAAAACCTTTTTAGAAAAATTGTGATATGTTGATAGTGTAGACTCAGAGGATGAGGTACAGGGGAATTTTAGATAACTTCAGGGGTTTTAGAGGAAACAAAATGGACATGGAGTATACCAGCATTAATACATGCTAACAAAAGGGACTAACTTACAGGACGTGTTTCCTTATCTCTCTTTATGTGATGCCATATAATCCACAAGATGGCTATCCGTGAGGAAAAGAAATTATGGTCACATTGAAGGTAAGCTTGGAAGAGTTTGAATTTAGACACTTTGTCACCCTCAAACATTTGTTGTCACAATTTTAGGGTAAACACAGAAACTGGAACTAGAGGTCTGAACAAAGGGACATGGGAAATGTGGAATTATCTCATCAAGGTGCTAGATAAGATGCACCAGAAAGAGATCTAGAAACAGTGGTCAGAGCTGAAAGAAGGAGAGAGATAAGACAGAGACTTCAAATAGCATCAGGAAGTTGGGTCAATAAATAGTTTTTAAGGAAAGAAAGTAGGCTCAACTGCCAGAGCCAGTTGATGAGTGGACCAGGTAGTTGGATGGAGCCATGAGAATTGTAAAGACAATGAAGAAGACACAGCATAGTCAAGAGGACTGCCAGTCGATGTGGACAATGCCAGAGTTTATTTCATAGCCAGCTTATATACAAACTTGAAGGGCAGAAGTAGAACAATGCACAACACAGTCATTCAACCATTATCTATCTGTCCTTGAGTCAAGAAACAGGCAGTTTCATTTTCTATCTCTATGTATTCCCAGCTGGTGTCAGAAGCCTATGTATAGCTGGATAGTGCATTCCTTGCCATGGGCTAATCAGGACTTTCTCACAACCCTCAAGGAGACTCTACTGACTAATCAGGAATTTCTCACAGCCCTGGAGCAAGCAAGCTTGAACTCCATTGAGTTAGAATAGACTTCAGATTCAAATGGGAAAGTGGGTCACTTGTGGGCTCTCACACTCAACAAAACTGTAGAGCATTCATGGCAGTGGCACTGGATAGGATACTGTTGGGAAAGAGTTTGGGGGAAAGAGTTTAAAGAAGCTGAGTGCAGAAGATCTACTGCCATTCTTAAGTCATTGAGTATATAGTATGTGATAATCTACAGGAGAATGTTTTGCTACCCTAAATATGTAATGGTAGAAAGTCAAAGACATGTAAAATAATCTGTAGGATTTATCCTCAAAACTGCTGATATCAATATTTCCTTTGGAAAAAGAACTACATTTTGGATGGAATCTTAAGAGTTCCCTTGCTGAGCTTGAACTTGAGTTCTTGGGTTTATTTGTTCCTCTTACATCAACCTCCCAAACAGCTTGGACTATTGGCAATGACCATCATGACTGACAGAAAATTTGCCACTTACGGTAAAATTACAGTTATGAAAGAAAAAAAATTTAGGCAAAGTGACATTTAGAAATTACAGAGAACACAAATATTTCAAAATATTGAAAATATCTACAAATCATAGCAGGAGAAAAAAGCTGGCAGAGGAAACACTTTTAGTAGCCTAAATAGACTGTGTGCTTTCAAACACATGATGCTGACAAAAAATTTTAGAAAACTACATTGGGTCAAATTTTTGCCAGCTCATCATCCCTATTCTATGTTCTTATTTTCTTTATTGCTGCAGGATATTTGCATAAAATAGAATACTTTTAAAAATTTCATTTAATTTTTTCCTTTACCTGAAATCATAATCATATTTCCATAGGAATAAATTATGATTTCCCAAACAAAAGGATTACAGCTTTGGAAGGATAATTAGATGCTGGGAAATGAGGCTCCACAATGAAGGTCTTGTTTGTAATATCAAAGTGTTTGTGATCAACACAATGAGCAGTGATGAAAATCTCCCCCGAGTGTAACATGTTATGGGTAAGGTCGTAACAGTCTAGAGGTCTTTCTGTCATCTAAACCTTTTGTTATGATATAGATTTATACAGAAAAGGGCAGATTAGTTCTCTCATAGAGAGCACATGTGACAGATAGTTCTTTCCTTGCCAAAATTGCTTCTGTATTTTTTTTGTGATTGTCTTCATTGTTGTGACAGAGACTTCATTTGAATACAAGAGCAGAATGCCAAATGCTAGTGAGTGACATGTGTCTGCATGATACTCACCTTTGTGATGATAAAAAAAACAAAACAAAACTATGCAGTGTTCCAGTCAAATCTACTAACTGTTAAGATTCAAGAACTCCCTTAAAATTCTGAGGAAAAAACCAAAAGGCTGAAAGGACTGTGCTGTGGGTAAAAGTGCTTGCCCTTCAAGTCTGATGGCCTGAGTTTAAATCCTCAGCGCTCAAAGGAAAGAAGAAAACAAGCCTGACCCAGCAGTACACACCTGTAGTTCCAGCATTCCTACTGTGAAGTCACAAGTGGATGGAAACTAAGGAATCGCTTGCAAGCTTTCAGGCCAGCTAGACTGGAGTGTACAGCCGGGCAGCGCCAAGACAAAAGACCCTGCCTCAATAAACCGACATTCAAATATCTTCTTACCTCCACAGACATGTATGCACCTACAGTCACACACCATAGGCACACACACACACATACACACATACACACACACACACACACACACACACACACACACACACACACACACACACACATGTAAAACAAATGATTTCCGAGAAAACTATTGTCCTATTTACTAGGGAATAAAATCCTCACCTTTTCAAGGAGATGGTAGGTCCAGACTTCTATAGATAGACTTGTTTATAATCCCAAAGCTTAGCATAATGCCTGCTTCACTGAAGGTTGAGTGTATGTTTTTGTTGAAGGAATAACCGAAAATGATCCATCGGAGCCTTATAAGAGGAGATTAGCTGTGTTCGGAGTGGTATGGCCACAGACTGAGCCTTATTAGGTCAGTTCCTGAGAGGAGCCATTTTTATGCACTTGTGTCTTTAGGAAAGCCTTTTGCTCTGCCACATTTTCTCTAGGCAAGGGAGGAATCATATCAACTACTGTCTCCTTCAGGCTATGGCATCATAGATGTTTTCTACTATAACTGTGGCTTTTCTACACTGCCCACTCATATTCTTGAAGGAGTATGCCTCTAAACCCTCCTTCCAGAGAGCATCAGCCAACCTTGACCCAATTTCTTCTGATTTATCAAAGTGTTGTTCCCCATGGTAATCTTCTTTGTTTGCTAATTCTGACAAGGGGTGGAAGCTGTTATTTTTTTAATTTATTATGTATATAAATACATATATCCATTGGATGATCCCTTATGAGATTCTACCACCAATTTAGTGTGTCAGTTGGGTAAAGAACCATGCTTAATAAATACAGAACCATCTTATTCATTTCCTTTACTGAAACTTATATGACAAAATCCTTGCTTGACTTGTTAATTGCATTTCTCTCATGGAGAGAGCCAACACATTGTGAAAATTCTACCATGCATTAAAAGGTCCTGGTAGTCTGACAGAGTCACCCGAGAAAGACTAGAATCCTTTTAGCTAATACTTCTGGAATAATCAACTCATTGGTACCCCCTTTTAGAGCTCAGAGAATTAAAAACTATTTATTTTCAGGACAAGTTTCCAGTTCCTTTCTTTTCACAGGGTCGTGCTTCACAAAGTACTAAAGTTGAAGTCAGAATCTCAACTGTCCCTTGTCACCTTTCTCACGGGATCTGTGGGACACTGAGGATGTCAGCTTGCATCACCAAACTTCAGTGTCTCCATTTCTCAAAGGTGGCTTCCTTCTTCATATGTTTATTATGTATGTCATGACCAAATCTATTCATAGGAGTCAAAAATGCATGGATGACAAAAAGTATACTGGTTCAAATTGTCACTGACATTGGTTATTGCTAGTCAGGGGGAGCCACCATAGTGACAAAGAGGGAAACATCCCTCTACCTCTCTGGAATATTCTTTCTAAGTTTAGGTGATGGGAAGACAGTCAGGAGAGATGAAGAGAACTGGGCAGCACCAGATGAAAAGAATGGGATCGAAAGACCACACCAGGCTATAAGTAGCAAAGGAGGAGAAATGCTGTCATGAACACTCTTACCTTGACTTTCTACTAACCTATCAGCTGGAGCTGCAGTTTGAATATGCAGTTTATCTTCACTTCAACTCATGGAGTTTAAACCTCATGGTGAGGCATTACAATAGTGGATGTAATTTGACTTTGTATAACAAGGTGGGTCCTAGAGTTGAGCAGGATCACCTGAATATAGCCTAAGCGGCTTTACAGGAAGAGGCAGGAAACATAACATACTCCCTGTCTCCTGATATGATGAGGTGTGCTACTCCGCACTCTGCCAGCCAGCCAGGTGTTACCGTAGTAGTTCTACAAGGCTCTTCAGCCTTGAGCACCATGACCAAATAAACTTTATTCTTTTAGAAGGTAGCCAATTGGCAGTATTATGTCAAAAACAACAATTTTTTCTAATGTAGTTGGCAGTTTACTGACCACTAGATAATTATTTTTTATATTTTTATAACAATGCACATATTTAGCACTTCCTGTGTTATGCAGAACTGTTGATACACAGCTACCCAGGTCAAATGCTTTTGCTTTTGACATTTGCACAATTTGTGAAGAGGCATCCCTGGCAGCAGACTTAGGATAGGGTAGAAGAGACATCCCAGTCCCAGATTTAAAATGACAATGCAGTGAGTGGGGGCAAAGCCTCAGTCAGGAAAGTACCCACCACAGGAGCAAGGATGGAGTCACCTGAGAAAGACTAGGATCCTTTTAGCTCATTCTTCTGGAATAATCAACTCATTGGTACCACCTTTGATAGCTCAGAAGAATTAAAAAATCTTTATTTTCAGGACAAGTTTCCAGTTCCTTTCCCTTCATAGGTTTGTGCCTCAAAAATATTTCCAGCACTTATGTGAAAATCCAGAGTTGGCAGTGTGCATAGATAATTCCTATGCTGGCTGATATGTGAAGATGGGAGGGTCACTGGAGGAAGTGGCCTTCTAGCCTAGCCTAATCAGTGATCAACAAGTTCAGGGAGAGACCCTGTCTCAAAAAATAAGATGGAGACTTATTGAGGAAGGTGCCCAATGTTGACTACACGAACACACACACACACACACACACACACACACACACACACACACACAAACACACACACACAAACAAACACACACACAGACACAGACACACACACAGTCACACCCCACACAGACACACACATATACACAAACACCCCACACAGACACACACACACACAGACACCCCTACCCCATACACATATACATACATACATACACAAACACACATACATACATACCACAAGGGTTATTCATGCTGGAGGTTAAATTGCATAGTGTCTCTGAATTCTCTATTGACAAAATAATAGCAATATACTGGAATTTTACCAAGTGTTATAAAGTCTAACTGGTGAGACAAACTGAAGAATTTTGCCACGTATAAAAGTATACCTTGTTAAATGGTGATATTATTTGCTAAGAACCCCTAATGAGAAGAAAGTTAAATAAATCAACTATGAGACTAGAGGAATAGAGACATCAGCAGATGCAAAATTTGCTAATTGATAATTCCTAGAGTCATTAGCTTGTCTTATGCACACATGCATTGACAAAACAAAAATAAACACTAAGCATTCCTCTTATCTAAAATATGCCTTTTCCTCTTATGTATGTCCTAAGCACAATCTGTCACCTACCAATCCCACCTGAGAGGATTGTCTGATGCATTTCATCAATCTTTTATAACGTGCATGTCTGCTGCTTTTATAATTGTGACTTTGAGAAAAACCGTGGGAAGGTGTAGTTGAAGACACTTTACCTTTTTTTCAGATTCTCAGACAGAATCCTCGGATTCTGGACTGGAACGGCCCACAATGCCCTGGTGGCGAGTTTCCTTGAAGACAAATATCAGTTAGCCACAGGATACAATCAGCCATCCGCATTGAAGGAAACAAGTCAGAAATCTGCGGCTCTGTAATCACAAATTGAAAATAACGTGTAAGTCAGATGATAGGCTATTAATTCTGGTTTGGAAAACACGAACAGAACTTGTGATGAAACTTAATTTTCTGTTTGGTTCTTCAGAAATGGGTAAACCATTTAAAATAAAAACAGATGTGTTATAGAACACTTGTTTTTCATAATATTTATTATTTTGGGGGAAATTGTTTTCTTTTTTTTTGTGAGGAGAGGTAACGATGAAGTACTCACATGAATGCTTTGAAACAGCACAAGAGTTGTTCTCTGATGCCTGGCTGAGCTCTAGATGTGGAAATGATTTGTTGTAACAAGTAAAATTTTAGTATATGAAATTTTAATTGTAGAGTTACAGTATTTCATGAACTGCTGACACACACTGCTATCCCTTCCAAATGAGGCTAATGACCACTCCAGGACACTTTCATACTTTCTACACTTTGTTTCCCACCTGAGTCAAATGCAGCATTTCAGGTAAACATCAGCCACCATAAGATATGAAAGACAGATTGTACATAAACAGGTTGAAATAGTAATATAATTCAATGCTTTCCTATCACTTACACAATTTACATTAATAATTTTACCAGAGGTTTCATTATAAAGTTCACTTATTTTAGAATAATTCTCAGTTTTTAAAAAGTCTTGTGCCTGGTAAACTATGTATGTTCCTGTGAATTAAAGGATGTGGCTATAGTAAGACATAAAAAAAGGGAAAAAGTGAAAGCATTTTGGAGGAAAATAGACCTAGCCTGTGTGCATGAGAAAGTCCTCTTTGTATTGGTAAGTTCCTTCTCCCATGTGGTAGGTAATAGTTTGTCGTTTTACATATCCAGGTTGGCAAATTCAGTTGACAAAGAACAACTGAGGGGAAAGGCACTGAGGAAGAAATACTATTGAATTATAATTAAGTCTCATGCTTGTACATAGCACATGTAAGGTGACTTATGTTCCTTGTAAAATATGCTAGGGCAGAGGAGCCAACAAGACAAGACTCCCTTCTTAACCACAGAGAAACTTCCTAACATGGCTGGTGAGAGTGTAGGGAACAATGCCAGTCTCACAAATAATGGAACTTACTTGGCATGAATTGCTATAGTGAAACCTAAGTTTTTTGTTTGTTTGTTTTGCATCAAGTCTAGGGAGGATAATTTCAAATAACAAGTCTCAGCGTTCCTCTTTTCTCAAAGAGTGCAGGGTACCACCTGATGTCACTAGCATGGGAAGTCCATTGGCCACCAGCACAACAGAAGTGAGCAGTTTGTAGCTCCTTCCAATATAGGACAAATTCTAATTGGTCTTATTAATAAAAACCCAGAGTTAGCTATCAAGGTAAAAGCTGAGAAATCAGAGCAGCCGAGCAGCCAGCCACTAGTTCTTACCTCAATGAAATTCTCAGCTAAAAGGGCTCCAAGTTCCTGTCTCCTCCCTCTTACATGCATCTCTCTGCCCAGCCATATAACTTCCTATTTCCACTTCCCTAAAGACATGAGATCCCAAGTGCTAGGATCAAAGGTATGTGCCACCACTGCCTGGCTCTGTTTTTCATTTAGACTAGATTAATCTTGTGTAGCCCAAGGTGGCCTTGAACTCACAGACATCTGTCTGCCTCGGCCTCCTGAGTGCTGAGATTGAAGATTAAAGGTGTGTGCCACCATTGCCTGACCTATCTATGACTAACTAGTGACTGGCTTTGCCCTCTGATCTTCAGGCAAGATTTATTTGTTAGAGCACACACAAAATACCACCACCTCCATAGCCTCTGCTACCACACTTGATTCTTCAGGCAATCATTTATGTTCAATAATTCAAGACATCACAGGCAGAAAGAAAGCCTAGAATACGTTTCAGATATAAATATGACTGAGGCTCTTCATCCTTTGTATATGAATACTTCAAAGTTTTTGGAGACATATTTGGAAAAAAAAGCATGCAACTTCCCACAAAGAATTGTGAACACTATCTGTCCCATTGAGCTTTCATATTTTGCTATACTGGTTAAGATTTAACACTAGATAATGTTTTACAGTGTTTACTTTCACTGATAACCTGGAAGCACCTTTCTATTCTCTAAAAGACTGACTCTCAAATTTACATCTGGAGTAATCTGCCCCTTTGAGGATTAGAGAGTGAAAATTACCTAAATATATTCTTTAGTGTCCATTTTGTAAAGCATATGTGAATGTACACCTTAATTTTCTCTAAGGAAGAACATGTACACATACATATATGTACACACCCACACCCCTCCACACACATACACACACGGCCTTTGGCTCAAGATTCTGAATGAAAAATGAGAAAATAAACACAATTGGTGATGGAGACAGAGGAATGGAAGTGATCTGCCCTTGATACACTCAGTCAGGTTTTGTGTGCTATTAGCCTTGTAAATATTGTGGAAATGCCTATATGCCTATGTGAGAGAAAACCTGTAAGTGAGAGAAAGAGAGGGGAAAGTTTTGTGTGAGCATCTTTTTTTTTTATCAGAGGTGGGAAGGAAGGATGGAAAAATCAGGATGTGGGATTCAGGCTGCAAATTCATCTAATGAAGCATGGCCATGAGAAAATGATCAACTTCCATTGAAGTTGGCTTAACTCAACCTGGACTGGCAGCTGAAGTCCTATTTGGTGTGATGTACAACCAGAAGTAACAACACACTGATTATATTCTCGCATGATGACAATTTCACTTAGGAGACAGTGGGTAAGTCACTTGGCATTGGGCTTCCATACTCATAATGATAAAAGCTACAGAGCGTACACATTATAGCTTTTAAGACAAAATACCTGTGGCAATCAACTTATAAAGACAAAACATTTATTTTGCCTCAGAGGTTTGGTTCTATTCTATGATCAGTTGCCTCTATCTCTTTGGACTTAGGGTGGGGCAGAGAGTATCAGGGTGGAAACTCATGGCTGAGCAAAAGCCGAATCACCGGCCAGATGAAAGGAAAGGCAGAAGTCCCATAAACCCCTTCAAGGGCAGGTGTTTAATGACTTAGGGCAGTCTATTAGTCCAGGCCTCCTAAAAGTTCCATCACTCCCAGTAGTACCACCTTGGACCAGTCCTTTAGGTCTTGGCCTTTGGGAGACATTGATGTGTAGCAGATAACACATACCAAGTCATATTCCAAACTCTTGGTGTATGTCACTCTCACACCAACCACAACTTTTTAGATACAAGTAGTTCCGATATTCATTCTCTAGATAAGGAAACTGAGTTGAAGGGAGATACAGTAACTTTCTTCTAGTTCTAGGGAGAGAAGGCAATAAGCATGGAGGGAGACGACCATTAAGTATGGTGAAGCCAGGTTATGCTTTTTGTCACCTTTGTCCTCCTTTTTTTGTGATAAGAAAGTAACTAATCATTTAAGACAAAAATCTCTGGTGATACCAGAGATGCAAGGGGATTTACAATGGATACAGGGAATGGAAAATACCTACGAGAGCAGCTCCGTGGTGAAAATGTGTGTGTGTGTGTGTTTGTGTGTACCTCTGTGAATGTGTGTGTGTGTACCTCTGTGAATGTGTGTGTGTGTACCTCTGTGAATGTGTGTGTGTGTGTACCTCTGTGAATGTGTGTGTGTGTCTGTACCTCTGTGAATGTGTGTGTGTGTCTGTACCTCTGTGAATGTGTGTGTGTATCTCTGTGAATGTGTGTGTGTGTACCTCTGTGAATGTGTGTGTGTGTGTACCTCTGTGAATGTGTGTGTCTGTACCTCTGTGAATGTGTGTGTGTGTGTCTGTACCTCTATGAATGTGTGTGTGTGTGTACCTCTGTGAATGTGTGTGTCTGTACCTCTGTGAATGTGTCTGTGTGTGTACCTCTATGAATGTGTGTGTCTGTACCTCTGTGAATGTGTGTGTGTGTCTGTACCTCTGTGAATGCGTGTGTGTGTGTGTGTGTGTGTGTGTGTGTGTGTGAGCTTTGTTTTGCATTATTACAATGTTTTTATGCCTGAAGTTTGGTTGCCTGTGTCACTGTGTAATTTCTTTTGGAACACCATTAATCCCAGCAATCATAGGGCAGAAACAGTCAGATCTCTGTGAGTTTGAGGCCGGTCTTGTCTGCATAGTGAGTTCCAGGACAGCTAAGGTTACATAGGAAGACCTTATCACAAAGAAATCAAATATGCAAACACACACACACACACACAACATTCATGTTGTAAGAATAGACATTTTTATCTTATTCTGAATCATGAAGAGTGTTACTGCTCACCATTAAGTAAAATGTTTCCTATTGATTTCTTCAAATACTTCATAGAAAGATTTTTGTACTTAAAATGTGTTTTCTTTATTTTTGAAAATTTCAAACATGAATACAACAAAATATGAACATATCCATTCTTTATATTCTTTATTGTTTTCCTAAATTCACCTCC